GATTTCAGAGTGCCAGGGCAGGAATGTGGCAGCACAGGCCAGCCCTCCTAAAACCTTGGCTTCATTTTAACACACCCTTTCTCAAGGATCATCTTCTCTAGGTGAGCTTCATGTGCTGGTTTCTTCACCACTCCCTTCCTCTCAACAATTTGCCATTTGTGTGCCCCAGGTCCTGCAGCAATGGCTGTGCCAGTAACACCAACTGTGAAAATTACCCTCCTGTCACATCCCAACACTGAGGCTCTCAAAACTGAATATTTCTCTGGCCACACTCTCCACCAAGGAATAACAACCGCTACTTCCAGCTCTTGAGGCACTATCATCCTTCCAAGGAACAGCTGGGATATACACTATTTAAAGAACCAGTCAAGGGAGGAACCAGTACAGCTACAGCTCAGTTGCCAGATCTGCCACTGAGAGCACCTGAGCTCTTCCTGAGACTCTGCCATGGCTCTTCCTTTGCTGTGCCTCAGTTTCTCACCACACCTGTTGGCCCTGGATATTTATATGGCAAACTCTTCTCTGCCACACTGCAAATTCCAGCCTGGGAGCTGAGAATCTCTGCCATGTGTCCTGATGCTCCCTGTCATGGACAGGATGATCTCAGAACATCCCAGCTGGCATGAAAGAAAGGATGAAGTGTGGGACTACTTATGTGGCCCTTTAAAGCAAGCTGAACCCAGAGTAAATATTCAATGTGGCCAAGGCCCCTTCCTCCCTAGGCAGCAGTTTGCTCACACAGTGCTTCTAAGGCCCTCCAGCCTGTGGTAGCCTTGCTCATGGAGCCATGGTTACTATTGTAAGGCTGCTGGGGCAGCTGCCACTGCAATGACATGGTGATGCCCACTCTGCCCAAAATGCTGGGATGAGCACACAAGGCACAGGAGAGTGACCACTCGGGTGTGCTGGTGAAGGGAGAAGATGAAGCAGATCTTTAGAGCTCAGTTCTGACACCAACCACATTAAGGAGACAAACCACGGAGACCACAAGGTGTGGCAGCACTTCTCTGCACCTGCCTGCAAGGCAGCACATGTGACTCGTGCACTGCCAGAGCACCAGCTGCTGTTGTGAACATGATGCACATTCTCAGCAGCAGCAGCAGCCTCTGTCACACTCTCATTGTGCTCAGAGATGCTCTTGCTGCAGAAAAACTAGTGCTAGTTTCTCTGGTTCACTCTGGGTTTGCACTAGAAAGCAGCAAAGCCAGTCTGGTTTACCAGGCTGCAGCAGGGTGGTGAGCCCTGTCACCAAGCAGCAGAGGAGAGGAATTTCATGGAAGTTGGCTTGTTCTTTGCTCTTTCTGGGTGTACTTGAAGAAGAGCCATAGGACAGTCACAGTCCTATGTAACGGGGTACCCACATCCTCTCTATCAGGTACTCTCACAATGGTTTGTAAGACAGCAAAGGAGTAACATTTCAACCAGAACAGCAGGGAACAGAGTAAGCAAAAATACACCAAGGTCAGGCCTGCAGTTTGTCACACAGCAGGGGTCTGCATCCAGATCTGCTGAATCCCAGCATAGGATGGAACCACTGGAAAGTTTCCAGCAAATGCAGTGTTAAACATCCCAAAGGGAGCAAAGTGGAATGACAGCTTATTTGCCTCTGACCTACTAATAGCAGATGAAGAAAAGTGCAGGTCACACCTGCTTTTGGGCACTGCTGGAGCTCCTCAGGCCTTGCCTGTGGGCAGGAACTACTGCAAACAAGCCCCCCCTTCTTTGTTATCCTTACCCACTCTGCCCCCACAGTGAATCCAAAGGCACGTGGATTTCTTTCCTTGGACACAAGAGAAAGAAATCTAAGGTACTTTGCTCAAGAGAAAATCCCTTGAAAAGCAGTTAATTTTGCAAAACCTCCAGTGGATCTGCACACACCATACTCCCCAAAGGCCTGATACCAGGATCCAGCCCAGAAGGAAAATCAAAAGAAACATAGAAGGACTGTGACATGACCCTCCACAGGAGAAAACATCTGAAACTTCTGACACTTAACTGAAAGCATATCAAAACATCTATGGAAAAGGAAATAGTCTGGAAACTGGATTAAGTCTCTCTTGGTATCTCATTATCATCCTGACTGTGAGAGAGAAGTCTTTTTTCACTGGGTATTTGTCCCTCTGGATTCAAACTGGAGTGGAAATTGTAGTTTATTAAAACTTAAATACACTTTTTGATAACTTTCCCAGACAAACAAAATGTTAATGCAAGTTCTGGCTTAGTCTTCACTTGGGAAATGACTCCTCCTCTGCAACAGGATGAGCTCCAGCAGCTTTGTTATTCCACTCACCAGAGGCCCAAGTATCACCTGCGACGTGTCTGCGGCACACGTGGTCCCCTCACGTTACACAGGCAGGGAGGGAAGGATGTGCACAGCTGACAGAAACAACACAGTGCTGGAGTTCTTTCCCTCGGAAATGAAGACTGAGGAAACATGGGAACAGACATGGATGGTGCTCTAAGGAGAGAGGCAGCTGTTCACCTCAGGACAGGAGAAGTGCTCGGCTTTAATCACTCCGAGCTGCCATTGCAGGGGATAACTTTGCAGCTGATAGAACAACAAAGCACCAAAACAGACTGCATGCAGAAGTCCTTGTCAGCACTGGGAGCCTTTTAGGTCAGGCTGGGCAAACATTTGTCAGGAATGATGTAAGGCAAATTGATGCTTACTTGGACAGAGAAATTGGGCTAGATGACTGTCAAGCTCTTTTCCAAGCCATTTTGACCCATGGCCCTACATTGAGGAACATCGAATGTCAGCCAGTAATCCACACACATTCGGTTATCTGGGTCCCCAGAGATGTTCTGTGTCACCCCAGTGGAGTCACCCTGTCACTCAATGCCTCACAGGGGCAGCAGTCTCATTCCTACAAGACCACAAGTAGTTTATCCTCTGTGAGGATGAACATATTTCTTTCTCTCTCTAAGGTCCCTGGGAAAGGCCCTCTCACCCCACATCTTGGGTGGACGCTGAAAGCACAGGTGGCACTTTGGGGTGCTCATGTGGACATTACACCAGAACAAGAATGGTTCTCTGTCTCTGACCTCCAGCTCTAGGGGGCCTTCAGGCCCCCCATAAACAGCGTGAGGTACAACCCCAGTCCTGTACCAAGCTGGGAGTCCCCTTCCAGTTTGCCGACACAAGCCCAGTGTCGAAGCTGTTTCACCGGCACAGGAATCGGGGTTAAAGCCCCACTTTGCAGCTGCACCGACCCTTCCGCCCTCTGCTGACCCCAGTTCCCTCTCTGGGGTCTGGCCCTCCCCACGCAGCGGGCAGGCTGAGGCAGGAGTCTCTCCGGCACGGACACAGCTAAACTGGGCCCGCAGCTCCATCTGCAGGGCTCTGCCAAACCGCGAGCCTTTCCCAGCTCGTCCTCGGGGCAGGGCAGTTACCCCGGTGGATCCCGCACACCTGGTGACCCCAAAACACCGATGGGAGCACACACAAACCACACTCCTCAGGGGCCTGAAAGCAAAGGAAGCTCCTCTCTGAAAGCACCACCTCAGGAATCAAATCACCGTTTTACTGGGTTCCAAAGACCCAGTAAATTCCCAGAAAATTCCGTGTCTGTCAGACGCTGCATTACGCACACTGCCAAGGGAGGTGTCAGCCTCCTGCAGCTCCAGGGAGCTCTGCAGAGCTCACATGCACAGGGAGCTGAGGCAGCTCAGCCTCCTGCCCACGGGCAGCACAGACACAGCCCAGGGGAGCCCCCTAAAACCACCACCTCCAAAGAGCTCTTCTGTCCCAAAATGAGCCCGGGCCAATACGTGTGAAGCACTGAGGAACACGCTGTACGACACCAGCACATTCCCTGGGATGTGAGTCTCACAAGAACATCCAGCCTCTTGGGAGGAACAGCAATTTTTCTCCACTCTTGTCTTTATGAAAAGGTCAGCAGCACCATGTGATTCTCCAAGACATATAACCCCTATGAAATGCAAATCCATGGAAATGCAAGCATTTTCAGCATTGCTTTACTATAAATATAGGAATTTAACACTTGCCCTACTGGATTAGACCAACGGTCTGTCTCACAGGGGATTTGTTCTCCTCAGAGCTCGGACAAGCGACTGATTGATGCTTCCAAGAAAAAGCACACTGCCTTCCCCAGCACCCTCGGAGGGTCAGCGAACTGCAGCCTGCTGCAGGGAAACAGCCAGCCCCTGAAGAATGAAGCATGATGCTGTAAAACTCTCCCATAACCCAGCTTTTAAGGCATCCTGCAAAAGCAAGCTGTGCACGTTGCTCTGTTTCATACATGAACACTGGTAACAGCCAGGAGAAATCTGTGAACCCATTTCTTTAAATTTAATTTCTAAACAGAGTCTGAGAAACTGAATTTAAAACATACCCATGAATTACTATTAAAAACAAATTCACAACCAAACAAAACAACACCTCTGACTAAAATTTGTACTCATGGCTCTGGCAAAACTCTAGCAAAACAGAAATCAGCTGTGCTGAGGCTTTATTTCCAAACCTAGGCTCAAGTGCACTTTAATTGACCTTTTTTAGTTCTCTCCTCCCCCTGATTTCCTTTACTGTGTTTGACCAGGGCAGGTACTACAGGCCAGAGAAGACTCACAGTTTCAAATAAAGAGTGTACAGGACATGGCTATCTCCTGAGGTGGATAAATGTGGTGTGAGAGGTACAACAGGGGAAAGGGTAGTGTGTGCACAGGGCTGTAAGAGCCCAGAGGGTGGGAAGGATCCAGCTGGAGACCCGAGCACTGGGACATCAGCGAGAGCTCGGGGCTCTCTGGGGAAGCAGGGCCAGTGTTCAGCAGCTAAGGGGGAATGAAAGAGCAGGGAGAGTGGGAGAGGTAGAGGGGAAAGGGAGATGTATTAGTGCTTATGAAATGCCTCCGAATCTGCTGCAGCCTTCCCTACAGACTCAGTTTGCTGTCCAGCCTGGACAGGGCCTGACAGCACATCCCTGGCACACACAGACTGCAGGGTCACTGTCTGGACACTTCCACCCCTACTGAGTGCTCACCTCCACTGGCCCAGCAACTGCTTCCATCTGGACACCAGATCCTTTCCTTTGCTTGCTTTCCTTCCTCCTCTCACTAGCTATGGTCAGGAAAGGAACTTGCAACACTGGAAACAGCAGCAACAGCAAGCAGCAGCTTGAATTTAATCCTGCCATTATTTATAATGTCATGATGTTGACTGTCCATTTCAGGGACTTCTCTCAGTGCTGTTTCAGACAGCCCTGCTCTGAGTCATCCTTCCCAAAGAGACAGACCTCAGCTATTCCCACACTGTCAAGAGACTGAGTCCTACTCCAAACTTAGCTTGCTGTCAAATTTTGTACAAGTCATTTCACCTCTTGTTTTCCAACTTCTCCATCTGCAAAACTGGAGTAGCAACTCTGGCCTTCTGTGTAAAGTCTTGCTAGTAACAGCCTCACATGGAAGTTGGGCACTTGTATTACTATCAGAGCAATGTGTGGGTGCCAGGTGTTTTGTCAGGTCTGAATAACTGCAGAGCAATTCCTGTAAAGACACTGATCTGAAGCACTATCTTTATTACAGTGTTTTGACTGATTCTGGCAGCATCCACCAAGTGTCAAGGGCTGTAGATCAGTTATTGTAACATGTGCACTGATCCTTCAATGGCATGTCACTCAGCAGGAGTGGGAAACAAAGGCTGATTTACTGTTGGAGCATCAGGATCCTGGAACAGAACCGAATTTGAAATGTGCAGGTCAGTCATGTCCTGTTATACCTGCAAATCCATGTGCCAACATAAGCCAGAATTTGGACCTATCATCCAATCTGGTCACCATTCTATATAAATGAATCTCAAGGCCAAAAAATAATGGAATCCTTTCTAGGTCAAATGAGTGATCTGGCACGTTGAGAAGCTGTATTTTTAATGAAATATCTGGAGCTGTGAACTCCATCTTGGGTCCTGAGATTAATGAGCCGCTTTAGCAGAGCAGACTAAAAAGTTTCCTGCAGCTCCCTGAGGAAGGTGAAACACTTCCACATATGCTCAGCTGAACTTCTGCATCTCTGGGTGAAGTCTGTATGGGGATATGAAGGGGTCTGTCACTGCATGGAGAGTCCAGCAAAGGGGAATGAAGTGGAGATTCCTTTCACCCGGCAAAAGGAGTTTTCCACAAGCTGTTCAGCCAGGCTCAAGAGCACAAATCATCCTGCAAGGAGAGTTATGTCTGCTGCAGTTGTCATCTGCTTTGTTTCTGGATGTGCAGAAACCTAGGCCTGTGGGAAAAAGAATGACCAGCACTGTAAGTCTCACTCTGGGAGAATATGCCTCTACCTCTATCCTATAAAAGCAGCAATTTTCCAATGGCAATAATCCCACCAAGCCTGTCACTCCACCAGAAATGCTTACCTGTGTCAGAACTTATGACTCAGACACACTTGCCAGGCTGTCTCAGGATATCAGAAGGCTGAGCCCCTATTTTGTCAAAGACTGGCTTCAGCTGTGGCCCTTTCCTGGCTGAGTTCATCCAGCTCATCAGGGTGCAGGGACATATTCCACAAAGGACACAGACCCACACCTGAAGCAAGAATCTGAAGGTAAAAAAAGACTTACTTGCCACAGAAGTCCTTGTGAATGGCACGGAGGGTGAGTGGTAGGTTTGGATGTGCCTGTAGCCAGTGCTCCACCATATCTGGGTGTCTGGGATCAACTTCCAGAAACACACTCCTGAAAAGACACGTTCAAGTGTAGAAAGCAGGGAGATGCACACGTTTAGGTTGTTAAACTGAAAAAAATTAAGGTCTTTCCTTCTGGATGACTCCTACCAGTGGGAAATAAAAAGGTCAGCAAATACACTGCAATCCAGTAAACCTAAAACAGATCATAGCTGTCCATTTTAGATGCAGATCCCAACTGCCTCCTTCAGGGGAGAAAGTGTTGAACCTGGGGGGGAATTCTCATGGTACTTAAACTCTTGTGTTAAGATGTAAGGAGCCCTTTTGAAGCTCATGCAGAAATACCACCAGCAATGTCTTCCTGAAGGCCCCAAAGATGTAAGGCCAGAATGCAGTTTTATGCTGCAAATGCACAGACACTGAGCCCTGGCCTGGCAGCAGGAAGTTCCTCTGTGTGGAGGCAGCAGAGCCATGAAGTACAAGTCAGCACACACATCCTCCCACAGTAAATGTCTCCATAAATCAGTCGTGAAAACACCACCAGCATTCAGGCCTACCCAAAACTCATCAGCCAGCTTCAGTCAGGGCACCAGGACTAGGCCTGGGCACTGCAGGGCTACTTCCATTTCTGCCAGGCTTTACAACCCCAGCCACTTCCCATCTCCCCTCCTGTGATGGGGCAGAACCACCCCAGCTCAGAGGCATGTGGAGGATGGAGCTGGTTATGGCCTGGCAGAGCACAGCAAGATACAACTTCAACAGGCAAAGGACAGAGGCCAAGCCTCATCCTATGCTGTCCTGAGAACTCCTAAAACATCCCACACTGAATACTCCCTACAAATTCACCAAGCTGGGTGTGGATCTCATTTCTGACCCTAAAAAGCTTCCACTCCTCAGTGGGAGCTCCACCTTATACAATGAGCACAAAGGGAAGGAAAAGAAATAATCCTAACAACAAACAACCCCATGGGACCAATCTCTGTTGCTGGGAAGTTCTGAGGAGCATCTTCAGCTCCTGTGGTCATGCAAAGCACGAGGAATGAATTCTGCATGGAGTATGCCTCTCAGTATTCTCATTCTTCTTCTCAGAACAGCAGATTTTCAATGACCTCTCTTATGCTGGCCAAATGTCAGGAATATTCAGCAGGATGTGTGAATGCCCTGGCACATGAACAGTGCATTCAGACTTTTGGTTATCAGCATGATGATCTTCAAAATGGATCCCACATGGCAGAGAGCAGGAACAATCAGTCTTGAATACTAATCAGGGAGAAATTTAACATCTAAGAAACTATCCCTGGCTGATCTTCTTTCTCCTGGGATATTCAGCATTGTATACTGGCACAATAAACAAGTTTCCCCTAATTAAAGGGTGGGAGGGAATAGAGATCTACATCCATCCTCCCAGAGTTCTACAATGCTTCTCCTTCCATCCGTTATTCACCTTAAAAAGTTCCCCTGCTTTTTGCACTCCCTTCCACGTTCTTTTTGTTCCTGCTTTGACCTTTAAAGGTTCCCACTTCAGTAATGACCATGAAACAGCACCACCAGTCAAGGAAGGCCTGTATCCCTTTATTAACCCATTTCAAGCTAATTTTGCTCATACACATGACATTTTCTAAAGTGCTATTATTAAATGGGGCAATGGGGGGGATAGTTCTGCAACTATTTTCCCTCTGTTTTGTTTTCCTACAGGAAGGTATAGAAGTTACAGAACTGAGTGGATAAAGGACACAGAATTCAAAGAGAGAGCAGTGCTTACCCAGAATCCTTCAGAAGAGAAGGAGCCAAAGCCAGAATTGTTTTGATGACTCTCATCCCATCATCTCCCCCATCCAAAGCATCAAGGTCCTCATAGCTGGAGTGTGGGAAAAAGACAACATTGAACAGCAATTAATGTGGCCCTTGAGAATGGATCACCCCAAGCTCTGTGGAGAAAGGAGCACCAAACACAGCTGAGCTCCAGTGCTCCTACAGCAGGGGACAGCACCCAGGGCTTTCCTGTAAAATACAGGGAGTGGAGGGCAGCCACCACTGGGCTGAGAAACTCCACCTTTAGCACCAGCAGAAAACATCCCCTGGAGTCTGCCTGAAGATGAGGAGCCAGCTGCAGCCAGGGGCTCACACTTCCAACAGTGGGTCTGTTCTCTCTGTGTGAGCTGCACAGGGAGAGAAGGGGTTGCACAGCCAGGGATCACTGCTTGCTCTCAACCAAGCCAACAACCACATCAGCTGCCTGCTAACCCAGCAGAGCCAGCTGGGGTGAAGAAAGCTCAGCTCTCAGAACTCTGCTGTGCATCTCATACAGAGGTGGGGGCAGGACTTTGTCCTGACATGCAGACAATCCAGTCTGGGGAAGAACCAGCACACACAAAGTAGTTCCACATCCCAAAAGAGCTTACTCTTTTTTTTTCTGCTTAAGACATGTATTGGGATGAGAATGGGTAGCAGCATTTCCACCCATCACAAAAAGCTGCTCAGATTACTCTTTCTTTCATAAACTCACACCAATTATTTAAAAAAAAAGTCTAACAGGAAAAATGCTCTGAAACAATTTTGGATTGAGAACTTGTTGGTTTCAAAATGTGTGTGTTTTCCATTTTAATGAGTATTTAAAATACTTTGATACTGCTTCAGGCCTGTAAGCAGTATCAAAGTAACACTGAATTATTATATACCATATAAACACACCCACACTTTGCACATGTATACTACATTTGCATGTTTTGTGTGCAGTTGTGTGTAGTACAAGGAAGCAGACAGAAAACCTTGCTCCAAGGAACAAGAGAGGAAAAATCTATTTGTCTGATTACCGGAGGATTTCTGCATCCAAGGAAGCCATGTCCTCATGGAAAACATAGGGGGGGTTACTGACTATGACATCTATGGGGCCCCAGAGCAGCAGCTGTTTGGCAGAACCTAGAAAAGAAGAAGAATCACAACCAGCTCTGAACTGTGGCATCTTCCCTATAAGCTCAGTGTCAACATCCTACCCAGGGAACAGCCAAGCATCGACCTCACTGCTTAAGCCTCAGCAAATGTCAGTTTGAACTGGTTTCAGCCAAGTCTGGGTAAGACAAGTATCCTTCCCTGGTTCAACTCACCTAATTTCAGGTGAATGAGGCTGGGCATTTAATCTAAGCTAAATATATGGGCTCCCTCTAACATCAGTGGAGAGACAGGCATGTGCAAGTTTATCTAAAGCATCCATGGCAGCATGGAATGAATTACAACATGTATATATTTGCCTCTCCTCAGTAACAGCAAAGGGCACCTGTACTACCAGCTCAGACACAACCTTTGGACACCTAAAACCAGGAACAATTCACCTTCTGGTGTAGGCAGGGACTTCTCTCAGCTGATCATATGGCCTGGAAATTTCTGAAGGGAAAAGCTTCACTGGCTCACTTCTTACTGACCTTTTTCTCTATTAACTTCAACACCCTCCTGCCCACCTGCATCCCAGAGGGGTCCCTTGGGTGTATGTCACACCTGCCTCCCCATCAAACAAAAAAGGGAGAAAGGCAAAGGGGATTGTAACAGTGAAAAGAGTTACTGTGTGAAACATCTTGGTGGATGATGTGAATCCTCTCCTGGAGCTGCAGCCTGTAAAATTCCAGATGCAAGAACAGAAAGCTTAGGAGGCATGTTTGTGTGGATTCATGAACAGCATGTTCTACAAACAGATCATTAAATATTGCACCTCTTATCTGATACACTTACATCCCACCCCACTGACTGCAGCTGGATTCCCCTCAAGGGAAATTTAGGACCTGCTCTTTGCTCGAGGAACAAAATTCAAAGCAAAGAGCACACTGTGCACCCATGGTAATTCCGGAGTGTGGCTCCTCTATATTCTCCTTGCCAGGGGAAAATAGTTGAGACAGTGATCCCCTTAAATCTTAGGAATCCTGAGCAAAGCTCCCTTGATGCTCCTGGGACAGGAAAGAGAGTCCAGTCTGAAAGTAACCTTGGGCTTGGTGGCAGCCTGATACTACAGGAGAGGTCAGAGAAACAGGGAGAGTGACACAGTAAGGATGGAACAGAACCTCTATTTCCTCAGCCACGTGGTCCACCCATCAAAATACCTCTCTTTTCTCCCCAGTTTTGCCTCT